TTTGTCTTTCGTGTTGCTCAACCTGTTATCCTGTACCTCACTGCCAAAACGAAAAACAAGACACAGCCGAAGTCCAGCAGAACAGCGTTTAGGCCCAGCCCTGAACCAGGGGAACCCCCCCGAGCCCGAGCGCACCATTCTTTTGGTCACAGGCTGCGCCAAGCCGCGGCGACGAAGGGCCCCCCAAAAGCCAACTGCCGCCGTCTCAACTCACCCCCCTCGGATACCCGGGACCAGGACGCACCAACCTGAAAGGGCAAAAGGGACACACTAGACACAGATGTCAGGAATTCCCCAGCATCTTCCAGACTCTCTGGATGCTCGTCCTCCCGTCCACTTCTTCTATGTTTCCATATGTTCCTGGGAGTCGACGTTCCGTTGTGTCTCTGTCTATCCCTCCTGGTAATCCGGGTCGACACAGATATCCGGAATTCCCAACATCTTCAATACTTTCTGGATGCTCGTCTTCCCGTCCACTTCCCATATGTTCCCAAAATGTTCCTGGGAATCGGCGCTTCGTTGTGTCTGTGTCTATCCCTCCTGGTAGCCCGGGTCGACACACAAACTCAGGTCGGCCGGGGCCCTGTCGCGAAGCCCAAGCGGCCGCCCAGCAGTTCCGCTCCCCGGGCATCGCTCGGCAACCTGCCGGCGAACGGTGCACGGTGAAGCCCTGGCTCGGAAAGGCCCGCACTGGCCATCGCTCGGACGTCCAATCCCTGTGCCTTGTTTTGGTTTCGTGTCTGGTTTTTTCGCCGAATGATAAAGGATGCTCCTCAATGGTCCTCGCCGAAGGAAACATGCACACGTCCGAGCGATGCCAGGCGCAGGGGACAGGACATCGTGCTACTATACAGTCCGAGCAGGCCTCTACCCAGATCACCGAACGCTCCCCCGAGCGGCGATATCTGGAGCTAATTCTCTCGCCGATCTTGCGCTGTCTGCCTCCAGCTCAACCGCTGCTGGGGTCCATTCGGCTACACTCGGGGATGGACAGACCCCCCTTTAGTAAAACGTGGTTCAGTGAAAACGACCTTGAGGCCCAAACCTGGCGGGCGCAAGCCTGGAAAATAACGGCCACGGCGCCCTCTCAAGAACCGAAAACGGACAATTCACTGATCGACGTGTCACTGTTGGGGGTCCTGTCCACCCCCGAAGGACAGACGAGGCCCATCGACATTGCAACGTAACAAGTGAAGTGACAACCAAAGATAGAACTTTCTTACGTCCCCGTAATGTCCGTGTCGGGGGGAGGGTTAGGGCACCAGTGTGGGGGTAATGGTACAGTCCAAAACCCTAATAAGGAGGGTTCTGTCAACCCCCGATACACGCAAGAGCGGCCCTGGGCAACACTGGCAGGCATCGGGGTTCCCAGCGTGCCCGCACCAGTTGAAGGGGCCCCAGGGCACACAAATAAATACACACAAACAGAATGATTCCCTATATTTCCCCATATTTTGTGGGTTTTCGTCTTCCCCCCCACTTCCAATATTTTCCCATATTTTCTGGGGAATCGGCAATTAATTGTGTCTGTATGTTTTTTCCCTTCCTGACTAGTGGCCACTACACTCCCTGGCTCAATCCAGACCCGGGTCAGTCACGCCTTGTAGGATCCTGCAAGCTCCTGCAAGCTCCTGCAGGATCCTGCACCCAAGCCCGGGTCGATGCAACCCTGGCCCTGCAGGATCCTGTAAGATCCGGCGCTATGACTGAACCCCGTTTGCACTGACCCAAGGATTGCAATCCTTCGAAGGGTTTTTTTTTGCAATCCTAGGTTTTTTTGCAATCCTGTGTCCTGAGCCCCGAATTGTTTGGCAATCCCTGCCGCCCGGCCAGCGGCGGAGGGAGCGGGCACGGCGACCCTCTCCGTCTTCTGCAGGGAGGCCTCCAGGGACTGCCGCATGGCCTCTACGACCTCGTCGGCGTGCCTGCCCCCGCCAGGGGCGCCCAGAGACGCGGCGGCCGCAGGCCCTCGAGGAGCGCTTGCAACACGGCTCCCACCTGTGGCGTGACCTCGCCGCGAGAGAAAATGCCCTGGAGATCGTTTTTTGGAGGTCGGAAAATGGTATGGTGTAAAGGGGTGTGGTGCTAATTGTAGGTAAAGGGGACTCTGGCAATGTTATTTGTCGCAGATAGCATCGCCATTTCCACGATTGGCACCATACCCCTTTATGCCACACCCCTTTCCGACCTCCAGACGTTTCTCACGTTTCGGCGAAACCCCGGGCTATCCGGTGGGGGTGGGGGGGAGGTGACGGCCGATCACCGAACCTGTTCGCTCTGGGCAGCCCCGCGCCTGCCCGCGCGCACCAGAGCTGCGTCGCCCCTTTTCGGACCGGCGCAGCCGACCAGGTCGGGCTATCCGGGCGGCAGGGGGGGAGGGCGGGCGGGCCCGAGAGCCCAGGTGCTGTCTGGACCCTTCAACAATATTCTGCTCTCCGCGCTCGAGCATCTCTCTGGTGAAAGAGCAGTACACGCCCAAACATGCCCAAACCTTGGGGGGGGGAATGGGGAAGGGCAAGGAGATGAAAGCGCTTTAGGTGTGTGTGTGTGTTAGTGAGGGTGTGAGTGTGAGTGTGAGAATGAGTGCAGGCGCGAGAGTGAGTGTGAGTGTGTGTTGTGTGAGTTGTGTATGTTGTGTGTTTTGTGTTGTGTGCTGTGTGTGCCCCATGTGTGTGGGTGTTGTGTGTTGTGTGTTGTGTATGTCGGGTCTTCCTTGTTGTGTGTGTTGTGTATTGTGTGTTGTGTGTGCTGTGTGTCGTGTGTTGTGTGTGTGGATGCGCGCGTCCGCGCGTGCGCGCGTGCGCGGGTGAGAGTGTGTGGTGTGTGCGTGTGTGGTTGTGTGGGTGTGTGCGTGTGGGTGTGTGTGCGTGTGTGAGTGTGTGTGTGTCTGTGTGTGGGTGTGTGGGTGTGTGGGTGTGTGAGTGTGTGGGTGTGTGGGTGTGTGGGTGGGTGTGTGTGCTTGGGTGTGTGGGTGTGTGGGTGTGATTGCGTGTGCGTGTGCGTGTGCGTGTGCGTGTGCGTGTGCACGTGCGTGTGCACGTGCGCGTGCTTGTGCGTGTGCGTGTGCGCGTGCGCGTGCGCGTGCGCGTGCGCGTGCGCGTGCGCGTGCGCGTGAGCGTGCGCGTGAGTGCGTGCGTGCGTGCGCGTGCGTGCGTGGCGGCCGTTCCCGGCCACGGCGAGCCTCGGCCACGAAGACGCTCCCCGACCTAGATCGCAGGAGCGAATGGCACGAAAACCTGAGTAATCGTGCTACCGTAAGGAGCGCTGACTAATGAACGATGGGGTTTGCCTGGCCACGGCGAGCCTCGGCCGCGAATGACGGCACGAAAACCAGCCAAAGCCCATCCAGCGCCCAAGCTGGTCCTGCGTTCAGCGTCTTGGCGATACAGCTATCGTGTTACCGTAAGGCCTCGCACTGGGACTCGGACCTGCCGATGCACGCCGACGGGGTTGCCGCAGGCGAGCGCAATGGCGCTGAGACGTGAACCGAGAGCGGCGCTATGAACTGTCAGGCAAGCGACGACAAGAAAGAGGTCGTACGCAAGGAGGCATAGCGACATCAGGCTGCGGCTTGCGCGGGCCGCCGGCGCTGCAAACCGCCTGGAGAGGAGGGCGCTTGCGCTGAAACTCACGCAGGAAGCTTGCGCGCGAGTGTCGACGCCGTCGACCCTGGTTGTCTCCCGTCGCTCAGGTGAGGCCACCTCAGGGATGGACAGACCCCCCTTTAGTAAAACGTGGTTCAGTGAAAACGACCTTGAGGCCCAAACCTGGCGGGCGCAAGCCTGGAAAATAACGGCCACGGCGCCCTCTCGAGAACCGAAAACGGACAATTCACTGATCGACGTGCCACTGTTGGGGGCTCTGTCCACCCCCGACCACCCACGCCGCCTGCAGCGGCAGGCAGCCGGAGCAGGAACGATATGGGGCCCTCCTGGCCACTGCGAAGGGTCACCTTTCCTTGGCGGCGCGCACAAGGGGGCAGGGGGAAGTGGGAACGCTTCTTAGAAGGCGCCAGCCCTACATCTATAGACAAGGCCCGCGCCTTCGAAGAAGCAGGGGTGCTTCTAAGAGGTCTTTCCCCCCTCCCCCTAGCCCCCTCCTGCGCGCAACCGCCTTGCGTTTGAAGCAGGGCAAGCTGAGTGAACGGCAGCTCAAAGATGAACCCTGGCAGGGCTGGACCTAAACGTTGTTTTTCGGTTTGGTTTCGTTTTGTCTTTCGTGTTGCTCAACCTGTTTTCCTGTACCTCACTGCCAAAACGAAAAACAAGACACAGCCGAAGTCCAGCAGAACAGCGTTTAGGCCCAGCCCTGAACCCGGGGAACCCCCCCGAGCCCGAGCGCACCATTCTTTTGGTCACAGGCTGCGCCAAGCCGCGGCGACGAAGGGCCCCCCGAAAGCCAACTGCCGCCGTCTCAACTCACCCCCCTCGGATACCCGGGACCAGGACGCACCAACCTGAAAGGGCAAAAGGGACACACAAGCAACTAGACACAGATGTCAGGAATTCCCCAGCATCTTCCAGACTCTCTGGATGCTCGTCCTCCCGTCCACTTCTCCTATGTTTCCAGATGTTCCTGGGAGTCGACGTTCCGTTGTGTCTCTGTCTATCCCTCCTGGTAATCCGGGTCGACACAGATATCCGGAATTCCCAACATCTTCCATACTTTCTGGATGCTCGTCTTCCCGTCCACTTCCCATATTTTCCCAAAATGTTCCTGGGAGTCGGCGCTTCGTTGTGTCTGTGTCTATCCCTCCTGGTAGCCCGGGTCGACACACAAACTCAGGTCGGCCGGGGCCCTGTCGCGAAGCCCAAGCGGCCGCCCAGCAGTTCCGCTCCCCGGGCATCGCTCGGCAACCTGCCGGCGAACGGTGCACGGTGAAGCCCTGGCTCGGAAAGGCCCGCACTGGCCATCGCTCGGACGTCCAATCCCTGTGCCTTTTTTTGGTTTCGTGTTCGGTTTTTTCGCCGAATGATAAAGGATGCTCCTCAATGGTCCTCGCCGAAGGAAACATGCACACGTCCGAGCGATGCCAGGCGCAGGGGACAGGACATCGTGCTACTATACAGTCCGAGCAGGCCTCTACCCAGATCACCGAACGCTCCCCCGAGCGGCGATATCTGGAGCTAATTCTCTCGCCGATCTTGCGCTGTCTGCCTCCAGCTCAACCGCTGCTGGGGTCCATTCGGCTACACTCGGGGATGGACAGACCCCCCTTTAGTAAAACGTGGTTCAGTGAAAACGACCTTGAGGCCCAAACCTGGCGGCGCAAGCCTGGAAAATAACGGCCACGGCGCCCTCTCGAGAACCGAAAACGGACAATTCACTGATCGACGTGCCACTGTTGGGGGCTCTGTCCACCCCCGACCACCCACGCCGCCTGCAGCGGCAGGCAGCCGGAGCAGGAACGATATGGGGCCCTCCTGGCCACTGCGAGCCCCGGGCCACGGAGAGGCTCTCCCCGACCCAGATCCGAGGAACGGCCCGCAAAACGCCAGAGCCGAGCCTGAGAGAGCCCGAGCCCCACACGGCCCTTGCTCTGGCGCCTCGAGTGCAACTGCCTGATCTCTGGGGACAGCGCCCCCCAAGAGCGGGCGGCCGCACGCCAGCTTCTCGGGGCGCCCGGCCTCCCGTCGCTGGAGCGTCGCTCTCCTCCACGTGAGCGGAGACGACACCTCAACGTCGGCGGCTAGGCAGAGTCGGCCGAAGAGCAGTGAGCGGAGACGACGGGCGAGGACTGGCTCAGGGCGAGAGCTGCCCGCCCGGTGGGCGACGGGCCCCCGAGGGCCGCCCGCCAGGCTCCACGCCGCTCCTGGGCGGGGTGCTGGGACCTCCTCCTCCTCCTCCTCCTCCTCCTCCTCCTCCTCCTCCTCCACCTCCTCTTCCTCCTCGTCCTCCTCCTCCTCTTCCCCCCCGATCGGCAGACGAGCACGCGACTGGGGGCCGAAGCACCCCCCCCCCCGGATTCGTGCCCCCTTCCCCCCCCCCCCCCCCCCGTGGCTTGCGAGCCATCGAGCTCGGCTCCCGGGCGGCCTTGCGGCACGACCCGGGCGACCCGGGGAGCGCCCGCGGCGGAGGGCAGCTGCCGGCAGGCGCCCCGAGGCCAGGAGAGGAGACAGGTGAGATCCAACGAGGACGCCCGAAACCTCAGCCCCCGGAGCCGATCCCCCCCCCGAGCCAGTCCACACCTTCGCCCCGCCCTCCAGAGGAGGCGCTGCACGAGCACCGCGGCATCGCGGCAGGCCGACCGGGGCCCGGGCCGCCGTCGTGCTGCATCGCGTTCGTGCTGGACCGATATTTGTGGGTGCCAGGGTTAGGTCGGGCATGTCCCCCTACAGTCGGATCTAGGCCAGAAGAACATCCTCCAAGAACATGAGACCCTCCAACAGCAAATGCATACAGTACATCCTAGGGTACCCTCTCCAGGATGCACAAAAACATCCAACAAACACTAAGAACACGAGGATACCCTTCCCGAACCGACGTCGATCTTATACCTCGGTCCGAATGTACAGGCGGATGATGGACGAAACATAGAAGATGCTCAAAGATGTTCAAGAACGGTCAGCAGATGCTCAAAGCATCGTCCCCAGACTGCTTTTTGCTGTCTTTGAAAACTCCTCCTGTAGGGGGACAGGCCCGTGCTGGGCCGAGATTTGTGGGCGCCAGGGCCCGGCAACGGGCGAGAAAGCCTGGTGGTAAAAACAATTCAAGGACAGCCCCCCCTGCGGGGACATCAAGCATCCACAACCACATCGAACACACATACACACATACACACGCACACACCCTGGAGGACACCTTGCGCCTGTCAACCATCGTCCAAAAAACGAAACCAGGGTAGTAGTGGTCGTGGTCGATATGCCGTCCGAGGACGGCCAGATCGACCACAACCACTACCAAAGAGTTCATGCCGAGGACGGTGGCCTCTTCCCCGAAGGGCTCTCCAGAAAAAATCACTCCTGGCCGTGCCCAGACCGCCACCCCCTGACTCACGCCTCTCCTCCCCGACGCCTGGCCGTGCTGCGACTCTGGCGGGACGTCAGCAGCGAGGGCGGCAGCAACGAGGGGCCGCCGCTCTGACCAGCGCCTGCGGGGTCGGGCTCCCCGGGCGGCGGCAGCGGCGCACGCCGGATACCATGCTTACACCCACTGGCAGGGACACGTGCCGCATCGGCGACGTCTCGGCTGTGCGGCGCGATCCTCCGACCCCATCTATGCGAACCCCAGCGGGGGTGTCCGATACCGAAGGTGGCTCAAGAGGACACCGGTATCGCTACAGAGCGGCAGTCGAGCCCCAAGAGGGGGCGGCCCTCCATAGCGGCCCCATGCGGGCCCCGCCCAACACAGGGAGCCCGAGACCTGGGTTCACACCGAAGTCTTCCAACCCAAGATGGCACCAACCGTCGATTCTCCTGAGTAACTGGGAGGCGGGGATAGGGTTCGGATTTGCCGCGTGTTCGGCGAATTCCAAAGCCTACCAACGCCGCTCATCAACTGCCTGAAGCGTTGATGAGCGAGTGTAGGGTTCGTAATTCCCCACCGGCCCAAGAATCTTGCGGAGCGTCTTGAACCCGTTTTTGCATCATTCCCGAGAAAGCCCCGCCCCCCCTTCCCTCCCCTCCTCCCTCACGATTCGCGCTGGCGCCGTGTGGGAATTAGCAATTCCTGAGCAATCCCAAGCGGCACTGGCTGGAATCGCGACGTGACCGACCCCCTCCCCCCGCCTCAAGTCACGCCCGTTATCGCCAAAGGCTATAACAACAAATTCTCGTTTGGGCATGCAAGAGGCGGGTCCCGAGGGAAACGGTTCCTGGGGGAAATAGGTCTTGGACCTGGGCGTTCCCCTGGGACCGGCTCTGCGTCGTGAGCCTGGAGCCTGCTTGTGGCTGTCCTGGGGGCATCTGACAGGCACGGGGAACTCGGAGACGGCGAAAAACCAACAGGACCCCTTTACCTCAGGACCCCTTTCTTTCACAAAATGTATTGGGTGTGGAGACCATCCCGCCGCTTCAGGCCTGTACGTGCCCACATCGAACGTTCCGAGAAGTCGTCAGACGCACGTCTTCAAAATCGGTGGGCGTACTCTCAAATCCCAAGGATGGAAATTGGAGACCCAAGACATGCGCGAATTCACGTCTCCAAACTCGAGGACGGGGAAAAGGAACAGGAAAAGCACACAGCAAGAGAGGAAGAGAGGGGAGAGAGAGGAAGAGAGAGAGAGAGAGATCAGGGAAGCGGGGAGCAAGAGGAGACGACAAGGATGCGGAGTCCGAGGCAGAAGCGAGGCAGGAGGCAGTGCGAAGCGAAGCGAAGCCAAGAGGACGAGAGAGTCGCCCGCGCTACCCGGAGAGCCCGCCCGTGACCGTCGCGGCGTGGCGCGGAGCCCGTGGCCTCGGAAGAGGCGGCGGGAGGGAACGCCAAAAATCGGGGATCTCCTGGCCCGGGTCAGTCCAGACCCGGGCCAGTCGGGCTGAGCAGAATCCTGCGGAGTCCCGCAAGATCCTGCAAGATCCTGCACCCAAACCCGGGCCAAGGCACCCCTGGCTCTGCAAGCTCTGGCGGGGCCCGGCGCTATGGCTGACCCCCGCTTGCCTGGACCACCGTCTCTGGGGCCCAGACCAGAGGCGGAGGAAGAAGCCCCAGCACGCAGGAACAAGGCCCCAGCCACCGACTCGCGATGCACAGGCGGCGACGGGAGTCCCAGCCGACGAGCTGAAGCAGTTGAAGCAACAAACAGAAGCTAGTCTGCCCAGAGGCAGGGCGCCTTGTCCTATGGCTCGGCACTGCATCTCTCCCCAGGGTGCACAGTCTCGAACAGCGGTCAATATCAAAAAAATTGAACTCAGGCTGGTAAGGGAGCGAAGCGATGATGATCCTCCAGGCCGCCAACTGACAGCAATCCTACAGTGCCACACGCATTGGAAATCGACCAGCTTGGAACAATCAAGAATTACATATTGATAGCAGGCTATACACCAAGCGTAGACAGCCTACACATGCCTTCTCCCTTCTCCCCATGTGCAAGAAAGTGGAGAGTGCATGCATCTGTACGCCTGCTCGCTCCCGAATTTGCGCGACCACCTGCATGCCCTCAACAACTGCGCAAGAATATGAACTGCCCGCAGGCCCGGGTGTCCCAGATGATCTGGACCGACGAGACGACCCCAATGATGCCAGGCGCGACATCTGTAAGTTGGACGAGAAGGAGGTGGCCGACGAGCAGGTAGGTGAGGAGGGGAGGGCGGCGCACCACTGGCAGGAGGGGGAGTAGGGAGGAGGAGGAGGAGGAGGAGGAGGAGGACTAAGAGAAGAGGAGGAGGAGGAGGAGGTGGAGGAGAAGAAGGATGAGAAGGAGGAGGAGGAGGAGGGAGAAGAAGAGAGAGAGAAGGAAAAGAGGAGGAGGAGGAGGAGGAGGAGGAGAGAGGAGTAAGAGTAGTACAGAGGAGAGGAGGAGGAGGAGGAGGAGGGGGAGAAGAAGGATGAGAAGGAGGAGGAGGAGGAGGAGGGGGAGAAGAAGGAGAAGGAGAAAGAGGAGGAGGAGGAGGAGGAGGAGGAGAGAGGAGTAAGAGTAGTACAGAGGAGGAGGAGGAGGAGGCTTTTTTTAATGGGGTGGGGCTTACACTGCGGAGCACAGCTCGACGCCACAGCCGCCGCACCCGGGGTGGGGATGGCGACGTCTGTAGACCTTCTTGCCATCAGTGCCGCCAGTGCCTCAGGAGGCGCAAGAGGAGATGAGCAAGAGGAGTACCTGGCGGAACCCGCTGTGCCCCCACGGGCCACTCTACTTACGCTGCGCACTTTGACCACCACACTCCACACGTGCGTCATGCCCATTGTGTTGGCCTCTATGGTCAAGTGAATGTCCTATCACAGGAACGCAACAGCCTCGTCGCTGATGTTTGCCTCACGTGAACAACTGGAGAAGATGGGCCAGGGGAAGGCGGAGGGGGGAGAATGAGGGGGACGGCCACGACGCGGAGGGGACTCGGATGCGGAGGTGTGACCCGCGCGGAAGCGAGGGCACAAACCCGAACGACGGGGGCAAATCGCCGATCCTGAAATGCAGACGACGCTGCAGCGGGAGCACCATGGACCGAAAGCGGTCAGGATCGCAAAACGAAAACAGATGAAGGAAAACTAGCTGTCCGAATCATTGCTCGGAGAGCAAGCAGAAACGCGGGAGGGGAGAGAGGAAAGATAATACTCTTCAAATGCCACTTCTCGCCACCACAACCACACGCATGACCACGACGGGCGAATCGAAACAAAAAGAGCCAATGAACAGTCTTCCCGCCAGACCCTTCTCGCCGGCGCCCCCCCACCCGGGCGAAACGAGGGAGGCGACGACGAGGGAGCTGGGGCGGAGAGGGAGAGCAGGCCGGAGCGCAGCGGAGGCCTCGGCGCCAGCTCGGGTGAAGACGAGCGCGCGCGCGCACACTCCAAGCGGCGGCACCTGCCAGTGCCACTCGGTGGTGGTGGTGCAGTGCCAAGCGGCAACGCTGGGCGCCTGAAGGAGCCCTGTGTGGCCCACTGGGACAGGGAGCCCCTCGTCGGCACCTCGGCCGATCTCAAACATCCTGAGCGCGTCCAGAGGGGCACCCGTGTTGCACAACTGTGGGGAGGGGTGTTTCCTCCTTTGATTTTGGACCCGATCAGCTGCACGTGCACAGAACTGTCGAATGATTGCGGCACTCAGCCCGCTGAGGAAAACGGATGCCAGGCCTCGACAGGCTAAGAGCGGTAACCTAACACACAACACGGGCCAGAATTGAAAACAAAAAAAGACAGATCAGTGCAACCGCAATGATGACTCTGCGAGCAGAAGAAGCAACCATCGTGGACGTGCGACGTGCTGGACGCAGTCGCCGTCGTCGTCGTCGTCGTCGTCGTCGTCGTCGTCGTCGTCGTTGTCGTCTTCGTCGTCGTCGTCGTCGTCGTCGTCGTCGTTGTCGTCGTCTTCGTCGTCGTCGTCGTCGTCGTTGTCGTCTTCGTCGTCGTCGTCGTCGTCGTCGTCGTCGTCCCAGGACGAAGGCCGGCGCCACGGAAGCGGACCGCCTGCCGCGGAGGAGCTGCTGCCGCCCTGCATCCCGAGACCCTCCTCGGGCCGGTCCCGCGGGGCGCGCGTGGGGACGGGCCCAGGCGGGAAGCGAGCGACCCAGGAAGGAGGCCTCCTCCTCCTCCTCCTCCTCCTCCCTCCTCCTCCTCCTCCTCCTCCCCTCCCCTCCTCCTCCTCCTCCCCTTCTGCTCCTCCTCCTCCTCCTCCTCCTCTCTTCCTTCCTCCTCCTCCTCCTCGTCCTCCTCTTTTCCTCCTGTTTCTCTTCCTCCTCCTGCTCCTCCTCCTTCCCCTCTTCATACTCAGGTTCCTCGCCAAGGTCTTCCTCCTCCCCTTCGTCCTCCTCCTCCTCCTCCTCCTCCTCCTCCTTCTTCTTATTATTCTTCTTATTATTCGTATTATTATTATTATTATTATTATTATTATTACTATTATTATTATTATTATTATTATTATTATTATTATTATTATTATTATTATTATTATTATTATTATTATTATTATTATTATTCTTATTAGTATTATTATTATTAGTATTATTATTCTTATTCTTTTTCTTCTTA